AAAGTGACGAGAAACGTACTGACTGTGGAATTACTCCATACTAAAAGTTTGTATCGTGAAAGAATAAATTGGTTTAATCAGGAAAGGATTTGTATCGCTGGAGTTCCTCGAAAGAATTTCTACCGGAAATTAACAAACAAGCAGATACGCAACCTACGTTACCTACAGATTAAAACAAATTATGATACATCATTCAACCCTAAAACTCCTATTTCCTAATAATCAGAATATTATATTCATACTTACCATAATTCTGATAATATCGTCAGGTCAATACATGTATACTTAAATACTATACTATTTAAGCAGCTTTATCACATTTAAGTTAGCTTTAGAAATTGCACTTTGTCCTCAAAAAAGAATTTTATGGTTCATGGAAAGCTGACATGCTTCAATGAAGAGAAATTAATGATTAAGTAGATGGCATTAAAATATAAAAACTGCGGTATTGAGAAACAGTCTGAATGATGTACCAAACGACTTATAAGCAGATAATTTTCACGTGTGTCCTTCAATAAAAGGATTTTCGAAACTTGATAAAATATTCGATTCATTGCTTTTGGGCTAAATTGCTAAATCCAACTTGACTATAAAATGTTTAAAAAGGATCATTAAAACTAGCTTTTAAAATTGGGAATTAATACGAAAGTAATTTATAATTTATCTGTTTATATCTCGTGATGGTTTAAAAATAGTGAGTTCTTGTTAGGCTTCTTGATGCAGATTTTATTATTTCTTAAGCTATGTTTTATATGTTTATTCTCCTCGATTCTAATGGGGTGTTTTAGTTGTTATTTGTTTTGCACTTTTCTCACTTTTCTATATTAGAAACAAGCGAAGATGGCTCTTGGTAAGGATGTAACTTCTTTCCCTAGAGATTTCGTTTGTTTGTTTTTGTATTTCGCGCAAAGCTACACGAGGGTTATCTGCGCTAGCCGTCCCTAATTTAGCAGTGTAAGACTAGAGGGAAGGCAGCTAGTCATCACCACCGACCATTAGCTCTTGGGCTACTCTTTTACCGACGAATAGTGGAATTGACCATCACATTATAACGCCCCACGGCTGAAAGGACGACTATATTTAGTAAGACTGGGATTCGAACCGCGACCCTTGGATTGCCATCTTGCCATGCCGGGCCGAGTGATTCATTTCAGAATATTTAGTGACCATGCTCCTGTTGTTCAACATACTGGGAGCCATTACTACCATCTGTATTAAAGAAATATAGAAAAATGTACAGTCGTTTTTTGTTGTTGTTTTTATAGATAAATCTTGAGCAGAAGAGCTTTTGTCTTGGGATTTAGAAATAAGAAATCAACATTTATATATCAATGAGTAGTTTCTCTTCCAATAAAAATGTCAATTTCAAATGTAAAAATTGAATCTCTGATTATTGTTCTTCGCAGTTAATTAATTAAGTCTAGGTGAGTGGGTAGGGAAAGTTGTTCCGTGTATATTTTTGTACTCAGGCATATCACATAAAACAACTATGTAAATCACCATAAACGTGAAAGGTATACTTTTTACATCTTTCTTCCTCAGTGCTATTTCGGTTATTATAAGTGGGGGCATAAAAGTTTGTTTGTTTGTAATTAAACACAAAGTTATACAATGGGCTATCCGTGCTCTGCCCACCACGGGTAGTGAAAGGTGGTTTCTAGATAAATAAAGCTCTAAGTTAAAAACATTTGATTGACATAATGAGTCAAACCGTGGTATAATTAATATTATGGGTATGACGGCCACGATAACGTTGATTACAGTTTTCCCCAATTAAAATGAAAACGCAAAAGGCATTAATACGAACCCTTTGTTTATTAAAAATGTAATTTCTAATTAAAACAAAGATTCGACGTGGACCTTTTTTTAGATATTTAGATATTCTTGTGGTTGTGGACTACTTTACTAATAAAATAGGGTAAGACATCTTATAAAACTGTCTTAAGCTGCTCACCCTGCACATATTTTTACTTATAATTTATTGTACGTTTTATTACTTATAATAAAATCACTGAGTATCACACTAGAAATTTTGAAAAGGATATTCTGTTTTTTTTCTTCTTCTCAATTTGATTCCTTTCTCACTCTTGTTTTGTGTTTTTCTCATTTTATACGTTTCATAACCAGAGAATGTCTTCTAATAGCCTACCGAATTTTTAGAAGTGTTGCCTTCACTATATGGAAGAATTGCGATCCTTGTTATTGTTTTTTCCACATTATTTAACATCCAATGTTTTGCTTATTGTGCAAATTGTTCACTATCCAACATAAACAAACCCTGCTTTTGATGTTCCATTAAGGGTTTTCTTGTGGATACCGAGAGACATACCTTGAGTTTTTCAACTGGTTGATCAAAGTATTTTACAGTGGTATTCTACAACAAGATAACATTTGTAACTTTAAACATGCTGGATATCATCTTTTGTAATATTTTGTTATGTTTAATGTTTGTTTGTTTGTTGTTAAGCGAAAGCTACACCAACCCGGTTTTTAGCGTTATAAGCCTATTTTGTTACGTTATGTTAAAGATGGAAAAACCGTTAGAGGGATGTATTTATTATCAATTAACATTATCCCTAAAAACCGTTAGAGGGATGTATTTATTATCAATTAACATTATCCCTAAAAACCGTTAGAGCGATGTATTCATTGTCAATTAACATTATCCCTAAAAACCGTTACAGTGATGTATTCATTGTCAATTAACATTATCCCTAAAAACCGTTAGAGCGATATATTTATTGTCAATTAACATTACCCACTTTCTTCTCATGGAATTTATCATTATTTCGTTAATTGCTTATTTTTGCCGTTTCAGAATTTAATACAGTATATATATATATATATTTTTTTTTTGCCTTCGCACAACTGGGGATGAAGATAGTGTTATAGTTCTTGAGCTAATATGGTAGGTTTTGGTATCGGTATTTTCCGCTTGAACGCACTTCATGGATTAAACGACCAAATGAGATACTCTTGAAATCCAGGTAAAGATATCCCTAACTTAAGGCTGCTAACCAGAAGAAGAGCGGCCAACCAACAGCATCCGCTTCTTAGCTGAAAAGCCAAATCATTTGTCAAAATTATAACAACCTCCCCCCCCCCCACCCACACACACAGATGAAAGATCAGACAAGAAAAATACAATATTTAGTGTCACAACTTACATAGAATATTTTCATACCAAGTCTGATTCATCAAACTATTTGTTCTTACTTTGTAATAGAAATATTGCGATCTGGAATCAGTGTTTAACTCTAAGAGGTAGGATCTACGGAAGAGAGAGAGTTTCATTTCTATGTGAGAATGATATTGGAGGATAAAATTGAGAATTTTTCAGTTTGTTGTTATGTATAGGTTTCACATAGACCAGTTTCGTTAATTTACGATTTTCGATGCATCTTTGGAAGTTATGGTAAAATATAATAAAAAAAAACTAGAAAGTAGTTTTTCATTGAGTGTATTTTTAAAGTGTTACGTGAGCAGTTGAATATTTATTATAAATAAGTGGTCTCCTGGAGAAAAATAATTTAGCATCTTAAACACATATGTTTCTCTAGTTTGTACATACATATATATGTATGCCAATAGCTCTAGAGCTGTTAAATACATTAATTGTAAATAGGCGATTTTTAATCAACACCATAAAAAAAAATAATGATGAAATTAATATTAATCAAAAACATTACAAAGAGACTCAAAAATCAAAATTAATTTTTCCATTACCGATCCTTATTGTCATCATTAAAACTCGTAACTGATAATGTCTGTGGCCATAGCACCCAAACGCATTGGGGATATCCCATCTATCAGACAAGATCCAGGCGCCAATGTCAAACTAGCCAGCAACTGACTTGAAACCTGCAACAATCCAAATTTAATATATACAAAAGAACTTGTAATACAAAGAAACAGTAGCAGTGATTTTCATGCACATTACTTAAACTTAGACATTAATGTTATAGAAGACCGAGTACAGTTGACTATTTTTGAAAAAAAAGGAGGGATTTAATTTTCCCATCCTTGGTCTAACTAGTCCTAACAGTGTTGTTCCGTCTATGCTGTTAAAAGAAATTATTATCTCTCAATAAAAAAGATTTATAACTATTTCTAATAACAGTAAGTTTTTTATGGATAATGTTCAGTTATTCATAAATAAATTGAAAAATAATGGCTTTTAGTACTGGCATATAAAAATGTTTATATTCTTTTATAATAAATATGAAATATTAATCATATACCAGGGCCTAAAGAACAACTTCGGGTAGCTGAGCTTGAGAGAGGAAAGATGATGGGGAATTAAGAACTGTTAAGGTAAAGGTTTTAATTGTGTTTAATATTAATTTTGTAATCATTAAATAAAAGGGTGGAGGTTGGAAGTCTTGTAGAAATATTAGGTGGTCTATTTTTACTCTGAGAGTATTTTTGCCTTTTTGTACATCCCGTAAAGGGTTGGGAGTTTTATGTTGTAGAAATTTAGGGTGACTTATTTCTACTTTAAGCTTGTATCTAAATATTAAAGATAATTGCCTTCCCACAACTGGCTGCAGATTATTTTATATCTCGTGTATTTCTTGATAGATTGTCTTGGGGCTTGGTATATGAAGTAAGGGTCCAGTAGAACATATCAATTGAAAATATATGATAGTTTGGAATACCATGTTCCGAGCTACAGAAAGTGAAAAATTGCTAAACTATCATCCTGTTAATAAGACACAGGTTGTTTTGGCCGCACGACACACTACTGTGTGTCTTGATTCTTAAACACATTTATAGTAGAAACCTATCATCATAGCTGATGCTATAATAATGAAAATCGAGGGCACTAAAAAATAGAAATGAATAATTTTAACATTGTACACTCACGGTAGTTAGGTCTAAACTTTGAACCACACTCGTGGTTAGGCCTACACTTTGAACCACTTCTTTCACTTTTGGGAATGATTCCATTTTCGAACAAGTATTTTAGCCAACTAAGTTTTAAAGGAAAAAACTAAATAAAAAAAAATAACATAGGATGAAGTGACAGTTGCTCATACAACTTTTTGGGTGCTATGACCACAGACATTAACCGCTATGAGTTTTAATGATTATAAGAAGAACAGGTAATGTAAAAAGTATATATATAGATGTGTCTGTTTGTGTGTTACTATAATGATATAAATATCTGTCTTGATCAGGTGCTTAAGAATATGGATATTGTAGTGGGTTTCTTTTCTATCAATAGAAATAAAACATCTATCTCTATCAAACATGATATTTTTTCTACATCAATATATTTCGAAATTTACAGGATATCACTCTATCTATTTCTACCTGTTTTCTAATTAAAACTTATAAATTTATCTCTCTATGCAGTGTGTTTGTTTAGGGTGTGTAAAGTAAACTTAATCTGTTAAACTAGTTTCACTCTGGTAAACTGTCTCCCCCATGTGCATTGATAACTACTGCTCTAGTGTAATTAGCTTCATCAAACGACGTCACGTGATTCCATAAAATTCTGTGATATCAAATTTCTATACATGTTTAATTTTCGTTGCTATGGAAACCTTCATCATGGTAATGCTGATAACGCAACCCGTTTCTTATTATAGAATAAGCCTTAAAATGTATGTTTTGAATGTTGATATTAAAACATTTTCACACTTATGCTACTCTTGGACTAATCGGCCAGGTCAGAGACTCATAAGATTCATATACAACCGTCCTAAATTGTGAACTACTGACCACGAGAGTTTTGTCTGGCTGTGAACCGGATAACGGGGTTGGCTATCACTCTTATAACATACCCACAGCTACAGGTACGTGCATGTTCACTAGAATTGCAGTGCGAACCTTGGCCCTTCCGAAGCGCATCCTGACATGCCAACTGTGACACTGGCCTTATGTCAAAAAATACTTGTATTGTTTCAGGTGTAATCTTTATCGCGAACGATTCAATAATTATTTATCAAAAATCTTAAATTGTAATTGATAAAATTCAATTCATAGTTTTAATATCTTATTCTACATATTGAAAACACATTTTATCTCAACTTTCCAAAATCCTGACTTAGCAGTTCAAAACCAGACATATTTAAAACACGGCGTCCATGCATCATTATAGAAATAAAGTTATAGCTATAAGAGTCTGAAACGAAAGCATTCGAAAACACAATTCATTAAAGAAGGTGAAAAAGTCACGTAAAAAACGTTGCCCACGCATAATCTGTTTGACAGCGTTTAAATGGTATA